CCTTCCCCTTCCCCTTCCCCTTCCTTCCTCCCTCCTCTTTCTCCAAAACCAGAATTGCAGGATGAGATCTCTTTCTTATCAATGACACTTATACTTTGGGGTTACACTGTATAATGACCCTGGGACACTGCAACCGTCATAAGTGTGAGCTGGTTGCCAAGCGCCCGGATTGCGATCACGTGACCATGGGGTTGTGCATGAGATTGTAAGCAATGGTTACAAGCATGAAGGTCAGTTGTAAGTCCCTTTGTTCAGCACCATTGTAACTTTGAACGGTTGCTAAGCGAATGGTCATTAAGTGAGCACTACCTGTATGCTAGAGAAAAGCTGCTTTCTTCTCAGAAGCCTGGATCCCTATCTCCTCTACCAAACTGCTTATTCACCTGCATGGAGATCCTAATCCCCTTTGGCAACCAGGTTAATGCTTAAATGGAAGGCTGGTGCAAGAAACATTTTACTACTGCCATTGTTTGTGTGAAACCAGTGACAATGGATCATGAACAACACACTAAAATACAATTTTTTTAAAAAAGCATAGGTAATCAGATCAAATGCCCAGTGAAAACACTACGCGTCGGTTTATTTATTCCAAACAATCTGCTTCAGAGGAAATTTGCAGAAGGGGGCTGCAATTTCTCGGTGTAAGGCATTCGGATTGTGTGCATGAAGGCCCTGAACCGACTTTCCTTCCTTTCGCAGCCTCGCTTGAAAAACTGGAGGAGTATTTCAACATCCGCACGCTGTATTTTATAGCATATTTAGTTTTTGGCCTTGGCACTGGGCTGGCGACGTTGACGAGGAATATCTACGTGATCCTGTCCCTCTGCGTCACATACGGCGTCCTGTTTTCAACCCTCTGCACTCTTCCCTATTCCTTGCTATGTGACTACTATCAAAATAAACAGGTATTGTGATGGTCAAAACTCCTTGGGCCAAGCCTCTCTGGGCATGAGCAGAGGGCCCTCGGCTTTCAGATGGGAATCATTTGGAAAAGAACTGTCTGAGCCCTGGAGAACCTCTGGGCATGGGCAAAGTTGTTGAGAAATGAAACAGGCATCTTTGGGAAAGCAATAGGGAAAAATCTGGTTTTTGGATCCTGTCTTTATTATATGGGTCACAAGGACCTCTCCCAGTTCAAAATTACATTTGCGGTAACAAAATTACATTTTTTATGGCTCTGATCTTTTCCGTCTTTCGTCTGCACCCCAAAGCTCTAGTTTGGGGTTACCCAAGTTATGAAAAAAAAATCTTGGAGCCTGTGGTTGCAAATACTGTCTAGATAAATGCATGGGAAAAAGGTAAAGCTAGACAGGTAAACTGTGAAATAAATACAATACAATATAAAATATAAAGTAAAGTAAAGTAAAATAAAATCAGGATTGAAATTTTGATTTTGCTTAAAGAAAACATCTATCAGATGGGGAAGGTTCCTTTAAACTGAGTAGCAAAGCTAGAAAACCTATCCTGCTTGCCTTTTTTTTCAATCCTGCATATATTTCTTAAGTTTTTTTTTACTATTATGTTTTTGGAAATCTTAATAGATTATATTGCTTCCATGCAGTGATATTTTATACAGTATTAATTGAAAATCATTGACACTGTATTGGGTAGATAACTTAGAAGACTGGAAATCAAGAAAGGGATAAGTCTTCTATCAATACGGATTACAATTTAGGATGTCAGTGTTACAAGCATAAGATTATTTGACTTTTTCACCCAAAATGGAGTATATCATTAGAAAAAAAAAACTGCCGTGGAAGTTTGTAACTTCCCCCCTTTTATACATCTGCTGGTTTACAGTGTTTGTAGATATTTAAGCCCCCTTACAGAAGCCAGACTGTGATTGTTTAAATTGTTGTTTTATACTGTTGTTTTACATTTGTTTTACCAGATTGTACACCGCCCAGAGTCACGCCTGTGAGATGGGTGGCTATATAAAATAGATAGATAGATAGATAGATAGATAGATAGATAGATAGATAGATAGATAGATAGAT